TCTTGTTAAACACAGTAAACAGCGCCTATGGCACAACAAAGAGTAAAAAAAAATCTTCCCCCCTGCTCGCGACAAACTTTCCTAACAACGTATCACGCATGAACAGAGCTTGCTTGCGAATATTTGCAGCAGCTGTCAAATGTTGACGTAAAATCGAACCAGAGAACCAGGATTTTTCGGCTTCACGCAAAGTATATGGGAATGACGTTTGTGTCATAGATGTGCTGTCATATCGCTTAAGTTTGCTGCGTACCGAACATCTGCAACTTTGTCAGCGGTACCATGATATGTTTTGTTGTTTTGATGTTGAGTACGTGTATTCAGCTATATGTCAATCCCCTGAGTTAATCGATAACTTTCAATCTGTCAAATTTTAACCAAAAGTTAAAAAATCTTCCAAACGGTTCAGAGCCTGAAAGTGCGACTTGTTCGTTTGACGTTCAATAACAGATGGAAATAATTTTTTTATACGAGTCATGGCTTACTATTCTAATAGTTTACCTTTGCCTGTTACTCGATTCAAGTTTTTAAATATAAAGCGCTAAAGGATATGCTATCCGACTATGTTATTTTGAAAAATCCTCCTCTTTATTAAATTTTTCCATGTAAAGTCCATGGAAACCACCACCAGATGTTAAAAAAAAATGTTAGGTTAACCCAACGGTGCTATTTCAAAACTACCAAAATTTGGGTAGAATTCACCAAAATCTGCCAAAACTGAACCTACTCAAAAATGGGTAAACTATGTTGGGAGTGACAAGTTGAAAAATTAACAACGTCGAGCGGATTCATGTCGATGTTGTCCTTTTGTCAACTTGTCACTCCCAACCAGATATGGGAATTGTCGCGTTTGTCATTGACGCACGACAACCCTAATAAAAATTGTATGGTTAATTTGCTTAACGACGTGTTCTGGGTATCATCCAAACCATTTGTGGAATAGTTCAATGATTTGGGTTATCGTTCGTTTATGGTTATTTTTTATTAGGGAAGATACATTAAAAAATGGTCTTCCTGGAAAATTCTCGTCAAACAACAATTTCTTGTCGCAAGACAAAATCAAGAATCCATCCAGTCGCGACTATCTATCTATAGTCATATGTCACTCATTCTGTTCCCTGAGACAAAGTCTATAGACCTTTTTGACGTTTAATCGTCTTTCTCTAATCTATCACATATGGATGAAAGGATGGTTTGTTTTCCCACTACTCTATTTCCCTCTTGCTCGCACTCATTCGATTTAAATGGTGCAGTAGTGTGCGCCGATTAAACGTCAAAAAGCTCTATAGGTCGTTTAAAGAGGAGGATCACGGCAAGAAACCATCCATTCTAAAACGGAGGTCAGATTTAAAAAAAAGGCCGGAAATAATGTTAATTTCCTTCAATATTGGTATTTCCTATTTCAGAAAAAAGTGGGAAACACTGCCAAATACCCTTCAATATGTATATTTTCGGAATCGGGATGACGTCTAGAGACCAAACCAGGCATAACATTAATTTGATAACGGCACAAAAGCATTTGTAAACAAACTTTCTCAGGCCCTTTACACGCGAACCGAAGTACGCTCATGCAAACCAACAACATCATCGGATAGGGGCGAGGGGGGCGACACATCTAAATCTCAAGTCTAGATGCTCAACAAATCTCACACAAGCGAATCAATCTTCGAAAAATCTTCTTTCATTTCTCTCATCTACTTGCATCGCGCATCATCTTTTTGCAGGAAATCTTCAGAATCGTCATCAATATTCTTTCTATCTACTCAGCGTGCGCGCAGCTAGGCACAGCAAAACACAATCTTTTCTGCATCGTAGATAGAGTCGTCCCCCTCGGATAGGGGTAGCTATCACCTTTCCGAAAGTGGTATTGGTTTGCGTGGGCGTACTTTGGTTCGCGTGTAAAGGGCCTTAGAAAGTTTGTTTACAAATGCTTTTGTGCCGTTATCAAATGTTATGCCTGAAACATCGATATCCAGCGCCATCTTGAAATCCATGATGGCGGCTTCCAATTTCAGAAAAAGTGGGAAATACTGCCAAATACACTTCAATATGTATATTTTCGGAATCGGGATGACGTCTCGAGACCAAAAATCGATATCCAGCGCCATCTTTAAATCCAAGATGGCAGCTTCCAATTTCAGAAAAAGTGGGAAATACTACCAAATACCCTTCAATATGTATATTTTCGGAATCGGGATGACGTCTCGAGTCCAAAAATCGATATCCAGCGCCATATTGAAATCCAAGATGACAGCTTCCAATTTCAGAAAAAAGTGGGAAATACTGCCAAATACCCTTCAGTATGGGTATTTCCGGAATCGGGATGACGTCTAGAGATCGAAAATGTTGTCCAGCGCCATCTTGAAATCCAAGATGGCGGCTTCCAATTTCAGAAAAAGTAGGAAATACTGCTAAATACCCTTTAATATGTAAGTTTTCGGAACCGGGATGACGTCTAGAGACCGAAAATGTTGTCCAGCGCCATGTTGAAATCAAAGATGGTGGCTGCCGATTTCAGAAAAGTGGGAAATACTGCTAAATACCCTTCAGTATGGGTATTTCCGGAATCGGGATGACGTCTTGAGACCGAAAATCGATGTCCGACGCCATTGTTTAATCCAATATGGCGGCTCTCAGATTCATAAAAACTATCAAATTTGGGTATTTTCGGAACAAGTACTACGAGTACATTCCGAGAATCGAGGTCTGACTCCAGTTTTGAATCCACGATGGTGGCAAGTGACTTCAGAAAAACTGTCAAATACCCTATAATATGAATATTTTCGGAACTGGGTCGACGTGTACATCCTAAAATTTTTTGTCTGACGCCATTTTGGAATCCAAGATGGCGGCCGTTGTTTTCTGAAAAGCTGTCAAATTCTACGATATGGATATTTTCGGTACAGGACGCGTGTATGATGCCAAAAATCGATGTCCGATACCATTTTTGAAATCCAAGATGGCGGCTCTCAGATTCGGAAAAACTGCCAAATACCCTACATTATGGGTATTTTTGGAACAAAACTACAATTTATGTCCGACGCCATTTTGTAATGCAAGATGGCGGCCATATGGCGGTCGCATCTAAAGCGACATCCATTTATTAGAAAACGACCAGCGGCAGTTTTGTCACGACAGAATGGAAGAATGACATGACAGACTTTTTTCGTCAATAATCATGTCGACAGTTTCCGTCAATCTTGTCGTTCGACGTACGTGAAACAACTAAGTCATTCTGGAAAACGTCACGCAACAGATGTTTCGTGACCAAATGAGAGAAAGACAAGAATTGAAAATGTTTCGTCGATAGACAGCCCAGTAGATCAGTCTTTCAAGCAGAAGTTTGTTGCATCGTGCTTGTCAGATGAGCGTTGACTTTTTGTTGTTGTTGTTGTTGTTGTTACATAGTTTATCGGCATGAGGTTGACAATTCCCAAGCCTGTTCCCAACATAGTTTACCCATTTTTGGGTAAGTTTTGACCAATCTGGGTGGATTCTACCCAAATTTGGGTAGTTTTGAAATAGCGTGTAACAATACAATTAGAAAAAATATTGAGATTTTCACGTCCGGTTGTGTATTGGTGCGATATGTGAGAGCGTGTTAGTGAAAATCCGAGGAAAATACACAACAAATCGCTGTCAAACTTATTTTGACAGATCAAATTTCATACATTTTCTAGGTTAGCCAGAGGAAAATAATAAACAACTTTACACGGCGATGTTCCCGCTAGTGTGCGTGCGTCAAAAGTCACTAATATCTATAGGCATCGCTTGGACTACACATTGCAAGAAGAATGATCAATCTTGAAATAAATTCACCCCAAATAAGATGAAAAGAGAAGCAGGCCTGGGTTCAATCCCAGCCGGCGCCGCCGGGATGTTCTGAGGCATAACATCTTTGATCACGCCTTCCTTTGGAAGGGAAGTAAAGCCGTTTTTTCCCCGGTTCATGAGTTAATGGGTCGACATATAGGGTCCAGGTGTGGGAGCTGCCTTCCTGGCGTCGGTAGCATTGGTGCTCAGCACGGAAAACAAGATCGACGGAAAACAAATCCAAGGAAAAAAAAGAAAAGATGAAAATAGTAACTGATTACAAGAAAAGGTTACTATAGTGATTTGGCCTTAAAAAAAGGAGACTTTTTAGTGATGGGCTTGAAACAAAGTAACCAAGTCACTAAACAGTGACTCACTACCAGCCCTGTTCCATTCATTTTGATAATTCCGGAGAACTTTGATATTTGAGTGTATCTAATTGCTTTTGTAAACAAACACGTCAATTGCCGATTGCTCGCGAATAAAAGCTCAATCTCGCAAACAAACTATACCAAATGATAGAGGAGTCATTCCTCTACCTGTTTGTGTTGTTAATTTTTTTTTTAGATTGTGCTTTAATTCGCGAGATTGAGATTTAAAAGCTTAAATTACGCCCTAATCTCGAAGTTCTCCGGAATTTACATATAATGACGCAATCTTTTTTTTTCAATCTGAAATGTTGCGTCGAAAAAAACTGCTTTTGAAATTTTCGAAAATGCATCAAACTAAATTAAACCACAAACTCTAACTGTGTCAAAATCCTCAGACCCTTCGACCCATTTTGACCGATAGAAAAAAAACTTCCCTCCTTATAATAGTACATTCTTTAGAAATTATGTGTATTTCACCATTTCTGTTGGATCCCTCCAGAAAGCTATATGAATTTCATCACGTCCTGTCAGACAAACAGACTCCGGTTATTTTCGTATAATTCGCTGTAGACCATTTTACGAGACCTATTATTTAATCAATAATTCAGAATCAATTTTTTTTTTCGATATAGGCACATAGGGGAGATGACGGCTTCGGCACGTTATTACCTATTATCGTCAGGGGTCTTATAGTGTTCCGAAGCCGTTATTTCCCCCCTCATGCTACTAGGTAATTCCACTAACTTTGGTTGTCATTTCCGTGTCAAGACCTTTTTGCTAGAAACTGCAGAAAATCGTAAAAACCAGTCCACCTACCTTCTGATTCTCGCGGAACTTCCTCTTGGACGGACTGACCGGCGGTGACTTCTGCACCGATCCGAAACGCCTGAGCTCGCCCCCGGCCGACTGGTTGCCGTCGATCGAGTTGCACAGACTGAACGGCTGCCGCTGGATCGATGCCGGTGCAAATTCCTTGCCTCCGTCAGAGCTAACCACCGATGCGGTTTTCCACAGCAGACTGCTATCGCGCGAGGAAATCGAAGTAGAACCGGTACGGTCGAGATTCTCCTTGACGTGCACTTCCCGTGCCAAATGGTCCCGCAGTCGCCGGTGCGTTCGACGGTGTTCCTCGACGATGCGACGCCACCCAGAGGAAACGGCCACCACCCGAACCAGATCGCTATCGGTCAGATAGTCCAGGATGATTCCCAGCGAATCCTTGTCCAATTTGTTCAGACGTTTGAGGATGTTTAGACGCTCCACGCCCACGTACGATGGGCGGTTCGATCCCGGAATGACGGGTTGGGCCCGATGGATCGGGGAAGGCGGTTTGCTGCGGGGTTTGTCTTTTTTCGTCGAAGAGAGACGCTTCACTCTGTTACGGGATTTGTTTGTCGAGGTTGGTGTTTTTGGAATGGTTAGAGAGCCGAGCAGCAGAGATTCGTTTTCGAGTATCGATGGAATGTTGACAGCAATGCTTACGGGAGCATCTCGGATGACACAAGAATCCTCCGATGGGAGCTTCTGTCTTCCTGGGGTAACTGGGCAGCTATAGTCATCAAACGAAGGTATTTGCGAAATTTCTTGGTCCAGGTACGTTTCTTTTAAGTCAGGTTCGGCTGAAGTTTGAACCAGGATGGGAGCATCCAGAAGAGCACCGAAGTTAGCTTGCGTCTGCGGAGTGATGGGAATCTCGGGCGATAGTTCAAAACTCTGTTCCACCGAGCATTCTTTGGATTTACGTGGGGTCGAAAATGAGGATGAGTCTTGCTTCAGTGAAGATTCCCGCAGTGCGTTCTGCCGCTTAAGTGGTGCTTTACGGTTAGTGATGACCGACTTTTCCTGCAGTACCGAATCGCGCTTCCCATAGCTGTGCATCTTACTGGGACTAAAGCTTTGGAACTTCCGCAGAGGCTTGCGCATTGGACCCGGAGCTTTCCCCTGATCTACGGCTTCCCAATCGATGTTTTCTCTACCTCCTACGTGAAAGTTGGACCTGAGACTAGCTGTCTTCGGAGTACTGGAACGAATAAGATTGTCTATGACAGAATTCCTACGACGTTTAGCATGAAATATAGGTGAAATATCTCCCTGGTCCAACTTTTTACAGTCCTCTTCAAGGGAATCATCCAGCCCGCCAGATGCAGCCTGCTGCCTAGCATCCCCATCGGAGTAAAGCTTCTCGCGGAATTGGCCGAACTTTCGCTTGGACGGTTCCTTGTTTTTTCGTGGTGTCAGGCTACCTAGATCGCATTTTCCCGTGAATCCGAAGCAACCTACATCTCCAGCCTTTTTCGGTGTATGTTTCTCGACCAGATTTTCATAGGTCGGCTTCCGAGCTAGGTGGCGACGCTGTTCGACTTGCTTACCGGCACTGTTCGGTGTGGTTAGATGAAAGTTCGAGATTCTCTCAATACTGGCTGCAGTGGAGGGGGTCAGTATGTTACTGGTCACCTGGGAAATATCCGCCGAAGATCGTGCTTCCTCAAAACTAATGTCCGCTTCATTGTCCTCTTCGATTGTGGCCAGCACCACCGATCGAGCGACCGAACAGGATGCATTGAACGAATGGTACGAGGTGTAGCCACTGTCGGCCAATTGGCCGCTCCCGTCGTGTCCACTGACATTTAGCGGTTTGTTATTGTTCCCATTGCCATTGTAGTTGTGATGGACGGGAAAGTGCAGCTGTTGTGACTCTTCCATTTTGTTTCCCCGCTCTTCTCCTCTCGGTGACCTCTAGCATGCAAGATCCTGCATGAGAAACAAAACAGGTTTCAGTCCTGTCTCTTTAGCGAATATCCTCCCCTCGTAACACTTACCAATTTTATATCAACATGCACACAAATGCGAAACACCTCTTGTCCTTGATTATGTTTCACATAAAACTTCCGCTTGACAATAATTGATGCAACAACCAAACACGACTCACTCTTATCACTCTTCTTCACTCACCCTTTTTCACACAATGCAGTCTTCCGCGAAACAAGGATCGCAAGGACGCAAACAAAACAAAAAATAAGAAAACACACGCAAGCACTCTGAATCTGGACGGATCCCGATGCTACATCACGTCGGGTGGGAGGACAAAAATCGCTGCCACGAACTAACTCGTCGAACCTCGCGAAACTTCACGGGTCGGAACAGAAAGAACCGCTACGTCGCTGCCCAATCGCCGAAAAATATTGCTAGCTTCATCCAACTTCAAAAACCGCGCATCAAATCGTTTTTAATTAATTCCGAAAAAACACAACACTAAAATCTGATTTTATTTTTTTTTTTCTTTTCTTCTTGTTGAGATTTTTGCCACTAGCTAGGTAGCAGCTATTCTTCTACGACGTTGCTTGAGCTGATGGCCGAGCGCGAACGAGATTCATTCAGCTGTGTCCACTGTAGCTGTTCGCGAGAATGATGGTGGCTGGTTGATGGCTTTCTTTTTTTTCGCGATTCCATCCAACGAAACGCGTACGGACGTACCTACTGTTGGTGCTAGGCGAGTAACCAATACACTCACACAGCACAGCCGATTGCGAAGCTTTGTTTATGTACCAGAGAAGACCGATCGAACTCAAGCGCAACATAAAAAAGAGGGATTTTTTTTTAAACACGAGGGAGTGGTAATTGGAAGGGATATTTTAAAAGTGTGTCTGTACTAATTCTACAAAAGTGGAGTGTTCAGTTTGCACAGTCATGTTCGATTTACGCAAATTCGCAAAAATCGCGGTCACTTCACACCAAATTTAAATTGCTGGATATCAGCAAAATTTGGACTTGATGAAAGATCTTTCACCAAAATAATGCTGCTAAAACTTTCAGCAATTCGAACTTCTGTCAAAATAACAACGTTTTACTGAATCTTCAGAAAAAAATGTCATATAGAATAAATCTAGAAGTACCATCGCGTCACTTCTGAATACGGATGTGATTGCATCCAGATCATGTGATGACGATAATGCAAATAAAATAACACGATTAGTTTGAATCATATTAGTGTCTGCAATGTATTTCAATCTGGGTTTAAACATAGAGGTAACTCTAAGACTAGTAGGTCCCAAAGAAACGTGCTCAACTTTTTGGCTCAACTCTGGTATCAGGCCTGCTGGGGTAAGAGGCAATCACGCTTATCACTACACCACCGGCGCCGCTTCTGATTTTTTTGATGGCATTCATTTTTTTTTTAATAAAATATTATTGTATTCGAGCAATCTTTATTTTATCATTGACACAAATAAGAAAATTCTGAAGTTAATAGAAAACCATGCGCACCCATTATATTTAAGTTCTAGAAATGATTACTTTTTACACATTTTGCTGTAAAAACCGTTCTTGAAAAATGTGTAAAAAATACACTTCTATTGACGTTTGCTGGGTTTACACATAAATGTGTAAACGCAGTTTAGACATTTTATGAGTATACGCTATTTCAAAACTACCCAAATTTGGGTAGAATACACCCAGATCCGTCAAAACTGAACCTACCCAAAAATGGGTAAACTGTGTTGGGAGTGACAAGTTGACAAATGAACAACGTCGATCGGATTCATATCTTCATATCAATGTTGTTCATTTATCAACTTGTCACTCCCAACACAGTTTACCCATTTTTGGGTGGGTTCAGTTTTGACAGATCTGGGTGGATTGTACCCAAATTTGGGTAGTTTTGAAATAGCGTATAGCCCCTTTTTTCGCGAAATGTGTGAAATTTTACACATTAATGTGTTTACGGTGGTTACCGTGTAGCTTTGCCAATCAACTGAAAACGACCCGCAACAAAACCGAAGTCATGGATCCGGAAACTCACCTAGTTCGCATAAATGCAAACCATTGCTTGACCTTCCCAAAAATTGTTAAGCATTGTTTATAATCCCTGCTAAACTTTAACTGAAATGGTTATGAAACTTTACACGAACGCTTGTGTAGTAAAGTTTTAACCTAATGTATTATGGTTTTTTTTAATGAACCTTACAAATAATGGCTTGTTAAGAACCATTACCATTTTAAAATGTTGTTTTCTCTATACATTTTCGGAAGGAAAACTATATTAGAACCTTTTTACTTATCGTTTGAGAATTTTAATGGTAATACACAAAAAAAAAATATCGTTGATAATATTAAAAAAAAAAAACATTGATAGAATTAAAAGTTTGCGTTGGTTCTTTTTGGTAGAAAGTCTTTTGAATTCAAAACAAAAGTCAGCCAACTGTCAATTCAAAGGTAGCTCATTCTTTAATTTTAAAAGTTGAAACTTTCAAATCGAATTGTAGAACTGTCAATTTTAATAGCCTATGGTTTTTAAATATACTCATTAAAGGTTTTATTTAAAAGATGGGCATTTTTATCGCAATGGTGTACGTTTTCATCTCAAATATTATTTATTGCTTTAAAAAAATGAAGCACATACATATTTAATTTAATTTATTTTAGTTTATTAAAGTTATCAATCATCACTGAAAGGCCACTGCATTATGGAACGTTCCATTGGAAGCATTTTGAACAAATGGTACAGTTGATATCGGAATAATTACTTCCTGACGAGCTCGGTGTGGGGACGTGCTTGAAGAGAAGTTTCTGCTTAATGGTGATGGTTGGTCGGAGTAGTTTTCCTTTCCGGCAAGACTGACGAGGCTGCTGAAGATCAAAGCACATCAATTAGTCAAATCGGAAGCAAGATCGAAAGTCTTCAAAAATTTCATCAACTTACCTCCAAATCCGGCAACTGGATTCTAGCGATTCTATCCTTCCATTCGATAGTGTCCCCGCGGGTGCCTCCATATTATTATTCGTATCGTAAAGAAGGGGAAACAAGCGTGCCGGCGGATGAAATATATGGAAAAATAGAATACACTGCTGACTCCTGCAAGTTCTCACACGAGTTCTCACAGCTGGTTTTGTTTTATTTTTTTATTTCCCATGTCAAATTTAGCGGGAAACGGAGGTCCAGTACTGTCAAAAGCTACGCAATGAAGAGGTATTTTGACAGTTTTACAACTTTTATTTTTTAAAAATCACTTTTAAAATTACAAGTCGAAAGTGAAAGAAACGTTTTTAAACCAAAAATAAAACATTAAATTTAGAAAACTTTTATAGTTGAAACTACAAATTTTGGGAAACTTTTAATTTGATTATGCATTATTTTTATGGCAACAATTGTTGTTCTTTGTGTGTGGTTATGGAAGTCAGTAAGGTCCATGGATGGTTATGTATTGTCGGTCAACTTTACGTCGAATATATCGCAAATAGGTTGCCTGTGAATTAATGATTACCGAAAACCCATTAATGGGTATAAAAATACCCATTTCCGCTAAAAGTGCCCCACCTCATTTAAGCCTGGTACGCAGCTGAAAAGTAATGACGTTTTTATGTGCTACCGGATAGGACACGGAATGCAAAAGAAATTACTTTTCCTCAGCATTTCTTGACCCAGTACGCAGTTCAAAAGAAATCGGTAAAGGAAAGATCGATTACATTAGTATCGTGATCGACATGAAGGTGGCGCATTCTGAATGCAATTTCACTTTCCTTGCGGAATAATGGTCTGATCAATTATTCCGTTAGGTAATGTTGGCGTTTATTGCAAAACTGATGTTTTGGATGCATTTAAACAACATAAACACTAATAAGTGTTGATTTTACAATTTGACGACATCTCCCTATAATCTCAAAATTTAGCAGACTATAGCTGTCAAATTTTCTTTAAGCCTGGTACGCAGCTGAAAAGAAAACGGAAAAGTAATTTTTGAGGATTTTTCCCAAAAGAAAATTTGACAGCTATAGTCTCATTCAAAGTGTTTTTTATGTTACTTCATACGCGAAGTTAACGATTTTCAGAGTTGGTTGGAAATGCTAACATGAAGCTTTAGTGTGATGATTTATTAGCTAGAGAATGATCTTTTTAGAAGAGGGTAGGTGGATAGTTCCGTTAGAGTACGGCAGTATGAAAATTGAATAGAAGTTGAAAATGAGCGAAGGGCCATTAAAGCGACAGTTTTACAAGATAGACGCACATTTTTGCCTAGCCCGTACGATGTACGCGGGGACTTGAAGTATGTCTCCAAGTCCACAGGCCTGTCACTAGGCCTGTGGACTTGGAGACATACTTCAAGTCCCCGCGTACATCGTGCGGGCTAGGCAAAAATGTGCGTCTATCTTGTAAAACTGTCGCTTTAATGGCCCTTCGCTCATTTTCAACTTCTATTCAATTTTCATACTGCTGTACTCTAACGGAACTATCCACCTACCCTCTTCTAAAAAGATCATTCTCTAGCTAATAAATCATCACACTAAAGCTTCATGTTAGCATTTCCAACCAACTCTGAGCTATAGTCTGCTAAATTTTGAGATTATAGGGAGATGTCGTCAAATTGTAAAATCAACACTTATTAGTGTTTATGTTGTTTAAATGCATCCAAAACATCAGTTTTGCAATAAACGCCAACATTACCTAACGGAATAATTGATCAGACCATTATTCCGCAAGGAATGTGAAATTGCATTCAGAATGCGCCACCTTCATGTCGATCACGATACTAATGTAATCGATCTTTCCTTTACCGATTTCTTTTGAACTGCGTACTGGGTCAAGAAATGCTGAGGAAAAGTAATTTCTTTAGCATTCCGTGTCCTATCCCGTAGCATGTAAAAACGTCATTACTTTTCAGCTGCGTACCAGGCTTTATCTATGGAATCTACACAGAAAAAAAAGTTGTTGAATATTACATCCAAACAGCTGCACAGAGATCATTCCGCCGGTTGTGTAATATTACGTTGTACGATGTACATCGATTTTGCGAACAAAATTACATCCATTGATGTAATATTGTATCTGCTTTTTGCTGTTACATAATTATTTCATACATCAGCTTGAATTACGTTGATCGATATTACATTTTTTTTTGCTGTGTATAGTATCTATAGTTTCAACTACGACAATATTTAACATGAAAAGCAATATTGTTATTTTAAAAATTTGTCTTTCACTTTATACTTGTCATTTTAAAAAGGCATATTTTGAAAATGATGCCACTACGGATGCCATTCACGGTGGTTCCCCGGGACAGCATTCCTCTAGCCGATCCGATGTATCCTCTCGAGCGAGAATTGCAAGAACTGACAAAGGAATGTTATTAGCTCAGCTTGGCAAACATGAAACGGTACATCGAAGGAATATCGGAGTCTATAAAACCTGCGAGAAATATCGTAGTATATAAAACCTTCTCTTGGACCTGGAGTACTTCCTTAAAGATTACGAGTAACGGGATATCAATAAATCTATATTAATTAAATTATAATAAAAACATAAGGAATTAAATTTTTTTTTTCCTTTATTTACAAGGCTTTCAGCCATTGGCTGGTTCGCCTTGGGTGATAAGGAATTAAAAAAAAAAAAAAAAAAAAAAAGAAAAAAAAAAAACTGATACAATTATTTTATAGAATTTAAAATGAAAATTAGGTGGTATAATAATAAAATTGCTTGTTTTATAACTGAATTTTAATTATTTCGAACTCAAAATGACCCATCTTATTTCATTCATACCAAATTTTCAAGCCCTTGTTCAAGCCCAAAAGCATGATTTTAATTTGAAAAATCCACTTTTAATTTCAACCAGTTGAGCTTTTCTTTTGACAGCAAAACAATTTATTTTGAAAGTTTCAACTTTTAAAAACAGTGACCAGGCAACTTTTGATTAGAAAGTTGTCTGATGTTTGTTTTGAATGCTGACTTTCTACCAAAAAGAACCAATGCAAACTTTTAATTCTACCAGTGGTTTTTTTTTAATTTTATTAGCGATAATATTTTGTGTGATGTGTCGGAGAACACGGAGAACAAAATCGTTAAGTTAAGATAACAATCCTAATAGTTACTTTCACATGAAAAAATATTGTTGTTTGAAAGAAACCTATAGTTATTCCAACACTAATTTGACCGTCAACTCAATCATATCAACCTAATAGATTCAGCTGTTCATCTTATACTCAGTTCAACTATAACTTTGATCAATTATAACAACCGTCAAATGTAATTTATTTATATAATTTGGTTTCAAGTGATCATCATAAATCCACATACTTTTAACTTGTGATGCGTAGAGCAGGCGATAAGATAGCTGGCTCTCACGCAGATGAACACGGTTCAAATCTAGGTTCAAATCTAAGTTGAATGTTCTTGTTCACTTTTTTATGATTTTGCAGTTGTGTTTTTGAGATCGATAAAGAAGCAAAACAAACTTCCTTAATATGTCGCTAATGAAGAGCAGTTCGTTTACTAAACATTGTAAAATTTTGCTTTCCTAACAATAGTTTTCTTGAATCAACTAAAGCCTAGTTATATTTTGAAGTTTGACGTTTGTTCATCTACTGAAAAATATAGTTCAGCCAACCTTGGAGCCAACTATGGACTACAGTTGTTGCCCTCTATATATAGTCAAATCAACTATAGTTTCGGGTTATCTCTAAAACAATTGAACAATATAGTTATTTTGACCGGAAAAATAATTGCGTCTGCTATAATTTGTTCTCCGTGAATATGTGTACACATAAAAGCCATGTGTAACCACGCATACTATTCATTTGACTCATAAATTTCATGTGTGCTTCTGGGTGGATTCTGTTTATGTGTGGTCACATAAAAATCATGTGGAATTTTACATGGAAATTCTTCAGTAAAACTAATTCTTTAAATTGGGTATCTTTTCAACCATTTCAATACTCCCCCATGTTTTTTCAGCTACATACATGGTTTGAAAATTGAATTTTTTACCCATTAATGCGTTTTCACGAAACACCATGTTGTATCTTTAAACGGGCGTGTGAGCTTATTTTAAAGTCATTATTACAGTCTTTGCGTTTACCGTGCAAATTATCCCGGGAATAAATCCCATCCATATACTACAGTTGATCAGCCGAAAGGTAGGCTCAAATGTCAAATTTGCTGTTGATGAGAATCCGCCCGCAAAGATCCGATGTAAACATCGGTTCGGTGGCAGCAGTGAAGTTCATAATAATAATATTTTCCAATTTATTATTAACAGAGATTAATAGCTACCATTATTGAAAAAAAAACTGAATGGCGGATTACCAGTGGCCTTGGGAATACAATTTTCCACCGTTCTTCACGTGAGTATTTGCTATCTGATAATCCTAATACCTCAACGGAGTGCACCAACAGAAAACTTCCCTAATAACAAAATACATACCCGAACAATAACCCAAATGGTAGAACTATTCCACAAACGGTTTGGATGATACCCATAACACGTCGTTAAGCAAAATAACCATACAATTTTTATTAGGGTTCTAATCTGACTCACTCATTTCAGGGTTCAATCCCATGCTAATACGAAAGACCAACAGCTGTCGACATGGAAATCCCTGATCCTTGACTATCATAAGCACGGCAAACAGGCCGTTCTCAACATAAACGAAGACAGTGCACCATTTGTAAATGAAAGCATATCCCGGAAGCTATCGTCCGAGGGACGCCTTTGGGTGATGGAAGCGCTGGAGAAGTCCGGCAATGCTGCTACGGTGGACAAACGCAAGCAGCAGTGGGAGGTGTATTGGCACACCTTAGACGAGTGGAGTGTAATCGTGCACGAGTGGGCCGTAGCGAATGGGATGACCAATACGGTCTGTACGATCTTCGAGCTAGTGGCCGGAGACCATACAGTCGGGGAGGAGTTCCACGGTCTGGATCAGGCTGTGTTAAAAAAGGCATTGAAGGTGCTAGAATCGAAGGGCAAGTGCGAACTGATTGCGTTTGACGATAACGAAGGGGTGAAATTCTTCTGAATAAGAGGGATTCTAGAGTCGGATGATGTGCGTGTGTTATACTCTAACATTTTGTAAATATAACTGTGAAACGGAAAGGAACTTTTTTTTTATTTATTTAGTAGGGTAAGTGCTCCAGTTTTGGCCATACCTAAAAAAAAAGTTGCAATTCAATCTTCGTGCGATTCGGGGGCGATATGTATATGTCCCCGGACGACTAAGATTCGAATCAACAAGCTAAACACAACTTAGGATCTTAAACGTGTGAAAAACGTGAAGTATAATCAAAATAGGCACATTTCCCCTACAAGATTATGTCCTATAGTTAGCAACGAAAAAAATCCAATTTTTATTTCCCATAGCTCATGGAACGATTATGCTGCCACCGGCAGCTCATGGCATTACAAAAAATATGAAAAATTTATTTCATTTTATGAACTTTATGTGATTTCTTGTGATCCATGGCCAACGTATTTTTTTATGGTCTACAGTTCATTTAAAATTGTCTAAGGCTGTGTTCCATTTGGTGAATTTTCCAAAGGTCGACGACATCATACGATATAATATATGGTGTGAGTATGTCAGCTTTGAGTCTAGAAAAACGCCAAAGACTTTCACGCAGTGCACCCGTTCGATAGTCGTGCCTAGTACACAGCAAAAAAAGTTGTTGAATATTACATCCAAACTGCTGCAACCAGGTCAATCCATCGGTTGTGTAATATCACATTGTACGATGTACATCGATTTTGCGAACAAAATTACATCCATTGATGTAATATTGTATCTGCTTTTTGCTATTACATCATTATTTCATACATCAGCTTTAATTACGTTGATCGATATTACATTTTTTTTTGCTGTGTAGTTTGTAGTTGAAAATAATCGGTTGTTTCTTGCGTGAGAAAGTAATAACTGTACACTTAGCTGGGTTGACCACCAGTCGGTTTAGACTATACACCAGTCAGCAAAGATGTCAATCTGATTTTGGAGAGAAGGCAGTCGGCGAGTGAGCGGATGCGCAGAAAAACTTTCAGATCGTCTTGTCTTGTTTTTGTAGTTGTAATTACTCATAAATGGGTAAAATTTTACTCATTTAATGCGTAGTCCCAGTTTCCCTCGAAAATGCTTATTTTGTAGTCATTATCGAGGTCATTATTGGGTATTTTGTGGTTACCTTGTAGGGTTGAAATTCGAACAGCCGGAACCGAGGCCATAACAGCCTTTTCTCGCTTAAAGGGTGACAGGTTAGATCCTTTAACACATATTTGATTATATACACGAAACGAAAATCAATTATTTTATTCATGTGTTTCACTTTTACATTTTTGCCAAAACATCCGCCAAAACATCAATATGGGTCTTTTTTACCCATCAATGGGTACTTTCAAGTTACCGTGTAAGTAAAATAGTGCCGCAAAAATGGCAAGAATGGCAACAACTGGTACACGGTTAGAAAAAAGTACCCAAAATTAAGTTCTTTTCACTCATCTCGGCACTATAGTGCAGGAACCCAAAAGTAGGTAAAGCGGGTCAAAGTAATTTTCATTTTCTTGTGTGTAATTCATATGGAATTTTTCACTAGCTTTCAATCCAAAAGTAAGTTAGTTGTACCCAACAGTAGGTAAATATGATAATACTCAACGTTGGGTTCCCACACTTTACTACCCGCATAAACGCGAACCATAAATTGACCTTACCTAAAATGGTTAAAAATTGTTTATAATCCCTGCTAAACTTTAACTGAAATGGTTATGGAACTTTACATGAACGTTTAATGATAAAGTTTCAACCTTATGTATTATGGTTTTTTGGAACTGGACCTTACAAATAATGGGTTGTTAAGAACCATTACCATTCCAAATTCTTGTTTTCTCCATACATTTTCAGAAAGAGAACTATATAAGAACGTTTTTACTTATGATTTGAGAACATTAATGGTAATGGTTATGGTAGTCAGTAAGGTCCATTAATGGTTTTGTATTATCGCTCAACTTTACGTGGAATATATCGTGAATTGGTAATCAGTAAATTACAGGCAACCAATTCGCGATATATTCCACATAAAGTTGATCGATGTTACAAAACCATTCGTGGACCTTACTGACTACCATAACCATTACCATTAAAGTTCTCAAACCATAAGTTAAAAGGTTCTAATATAGTTCTCTTTCCGAAAATGTATGGAGAAAACAAGAATTTGGAACGGTAATGGTTCTTAACAACCCATTATTTGTAAGGTCCAGTTCCAAAAAACCACAATACATAAGGTTGAAACTTTATCATTAAACGTTCATGTAAAGTTCCATAACCATTTCAGTTGAAGTTTAGCAGGGATTATAAACAATTTTCAACCATTTTAAGTAAGGTCAATTCAGTGCCAACATTTCAAAGGGGCGTAATTGCATTTGTAAACAATGGCTTTAGCCGTCGATTTCTTGCGAATAAAAGCTTACTCATAAAAAATAATGACACCAGCAGGTAGAAGAATGTTTCCTCTACCAGCTAGCATTGTAATTTTGGAGAGGTAAGATTTCATTCGCGGCAAATTGACGGCTAAAGTCATTGTTTACAAAAGCAATTACGCCCCTTTGAAATGTTGGCACTGAATTTATGGTTCACGTTTATGCGGGTACCCCTGTTGGGTGGTTTTGCTTCTTCTTTTTTGACAACATTACACAGAAACAAAATCCATTGGCAAAAATACTATATTGATGGTTTAAATTAAATACTCCCACCAATAGATTTGTGCAGAAACGAAATCCGTTTAATTTGACTATTTTTTCTTTCAAAACTACTATGCCGTTTGAGTCAGCATAGTAGTTTTGACAGAATGGTAGTAAATTTGATTATATTTATAGTCAACTATACTGAAATCATGGTAGATTTAACGGTATTAAACGTAGTTATACTGAAAATAAGTGTTTTCTGCAAAATAGTATTCCTAACTATTATCTTTGTTTCAGTGTAGAAGGAGAAAATGAGACGAACTAGTCAAAAGTAGGTAAAAGTGAACTGGCCGTTGGGTACTTTTTTCTTACCGTGTACGGTTGCTCTGATTATTAAAGAAAATCGATTAATCAGAGTGCTGAAATCTCTGCCGGCCGAGATCGCCTATTACTACCCACAATCAAAAATCCAGCGTCGTGCCCTCGGTCTCGGTCGTGCCGCCGTCGATCATCGTTCTTTTTCCATATTTTGCATCGGGGTTTGCAAAGTTCTGCACGTAGGTATTTTAAGGCAAAATTAGTTTGTAATTTAATCAGCACGTTTTGCCTTAATTAATGACATAAGATTTTTTTAAAGTAATGGACCAATTCGAGCAGACAAACGAGGTAAGCAATTGTGGCATAATCTGCACTGAACGAGCTTGGGTGGAAGAACTCAAACCTAACAATTTTCTCTAAATGTACACCCCGTTTTCGATCAGACCGAATTTCCCATATACGAAATAAAAAAAAAAACGTTCCGATCGAAAACGGAAGTAGGAATTTTCAATTGCGTGGACTCACTTTTTCACCCATTGGTACCGGTAAAAAGTTAGGTTACGCAATGCTACATCGGGCAAAAACATTCACTGATCATTTTGTGCCATATAGGTGCAGGACGAAGAGTCTTATGTTGCGGACGAAGAAGAAAGTGATACCATAGACGATCAGAGCTCGGACCAAAGTTCTTCCGGTGACGATGATTACGATTCCGACGATGACGATGATATTGCGGCGGATGTTCGTGATTTGATGAAACGTGATAAGGTCGTGGTGTTGGCTGAGGTAATCAAATGTCGCACCGAGCAGCTTCGTCTCCGCCAGCAGCTGAAAGTGTATCAGTATGCTTTGGAAGAAATGGGTGGCCAAAAAACGAAACTCCAACTCGATCTGGCTCTCACCACCAAGACGCTACTGGTGCTGCAGGAAGGGTAAGTCAGAATTGTGAACACCGTTATGATAATGATCACACGATTTCTTGCTTTGCTGCGTCACAGATTTTCCGAACAGCACCTGCAAGACGAGAAAATCCTCAAGCAAATCAACATGATGTCGGATTTTCTCGGGGATTTGGACATGAAGCGCGTTCAGTTGATCAAGGAAACTCGTCAGTTGGCGGCACAGCTAACTAGCGACAAGGAAAAAATAGAAGCGATGGGTAAGAATCTACCGTGAGGTGGAATTAACCGATGGTTGTAGGACGGATCTCTATCTCTAGTTTGGTACCTAGGCATTCCATATAAAGACTACCAAATTAGAAAGAAAGATCCGTTCATCATTTAATTGAAAAAGTGCACACTTGTAATTTCCATCAAAATGTAGGTGGGATCTTAATATTAATGAAGGTGATTTTCTTTTTTTTTTTTTTTTAATAATTCGTTTATTTTTCCAGGCTCATTTGCCGTTGCTTTGCCGAGCCGATATTCATTGTTTAGATTACAAAATTACTCAAAACTAACTTTAGTAAAGCGGGGGCCGATTACTCGCGGCTATCTCGAGGTTAGGGGTAACAAATTGTAACAAATGGATGGCAGGGTAGGGATTGTGAACACAAGGTTTGGAGAGCAATGTGCTCTTGATCTCGAACTAGGCGACACTCTGATCAAAAAGACAAACATGGGGGTACACCGATGGGTAGCTAACAACTTGGGAGAACACAAGATGACACTAACTTCTAAATCCTCAAATCTATCCGTTTTAAAAACATAAATTAAATTCAAATAGTCAAGGTCTCGGCTCGCCAAGACATCTCTAACGGGTATCGCGGGTTGTTTTCCTCGGGCCCTGAGGGATGTGAATAACTCAGATCTGGCAACACGGTGTAAGGTACACGACCAAACAACATGCTCGATATCGTGATAACCACTGCCACACGCACATAAATTGCTGCCTGAGAGCCCAATTCGATAGAAGTGCGAGTCTAACGAGCAGTGATTGGACATAAGCCTTGATATAACGCGTATAAAGTCGCGGCTCATGTCCAACCCTTTGAACCATGGTTTGTTCGACACCTGTGGGAGAATAGAATGTAACCATCTTCCCAATTCACCATCATTCCATTTTTGTTGCCAACTGATGAGGACTTGCTGGCGAGCAATAGAGAAAAATTCGTGGAAGGCGATTTGTCGCTCAAAAATATCGCCTTCCATAGCGCCCACCTTAGCCAATGAGTCCGCTTTCTCATTACCCGGAATTGAGCAATGAGATGGGACCCAAGCTAAGGTGATAGTATAGGAGCAGTTAGATAAAGCACTCAGTTTAGATCGTATTTCAGGCAGGAAATACGAGGAGTGCTTCATCGGCCTCATTGAACGAATAGCCTCCAATGAGCTAAGACTATCCGTAAAAATAAAATAATGGTCAGACGGTAGTGAGGCAATTCGCTCTACTGCGTAAAATATAGCTGCGAGTTCCGCAACGTATACGGAGCATGGTTTCTGCAGTCTATAGGAGGCGCTATGAAATTGATTAAATACACCAAATCCAGTGGAAGCATTTATGGTTGACCCATCTGTGAAAAATCTTTTATCGTTACTTACATGGTGGTACTTGATTGCAAAAATTGAGGGAACAACCATCGACCGATGGTGATCTGGTATTCCATGGATTTCTTGCATCATGGTCAGATCAAAATTTACAGAGGAACTATAGAAGGCTTGAAAGCAATCACGATTGGAGATTAATGAAGAAGGACCAACCTCCAGCGTCATGTACTCATAGTACAAACTCATGAATCTTGTTTGAGGATTTTGGTCGAGCAGCTTCTCAAAATGTTCTATTATCAAAGGATTCAACACTTCACAACGGATGAGGAACCGGAAAGACAGCTCAGTGAAACGATCTGTCAGTGGGAGAACACCCGCGAGTACTTCGAGGCTCATCGTATGCGTCGAGTGCATACAGCCAAGCGCGATTCGGAGGCAACGGTATTGAACTCGTTGCAGCTTCAAGATATGTGTTTTCGCCGCGGATTGAAAGCAGAAGCTACCGTACTCTAGAACCGACAAGATGGTTGTTCGATATAACCTGATCAGATCTTCCGGGTGTGCTCCCCACCAAGTTCTGGTAATTGTACGAAGAAAATTGATTCTTTGTTGGCATTTTTGTTTTAGATACGCAATTTGTTTTCCCCATGTGCATTTGGAATCGAACCAGACACCTAAATACTTGAAAGATATACTTTGAGTGATTGTTCTACCCTTTAGTTGAAGCTGTAACTGTGCAGGATGATGCTTCCTAGAAAAAACAACCAACTCAGTTTTCTCCGGAGAGAATTCGATACCCAGCTTCATAGCCCAAGTAGACAAATTGTCTAAGGTATCTTGCAATGGTCCTTGCAGGTCCGGTGCACTTGGCCCTATAACGGACACAACGCCGTCATCTGCAAGTTGCCTTAGCGAGCAATTTTCATCAAGACAACCATCAATGTCTTTAACGTAAAAATTGTAAAGAAGGGGGCTTAAACATGAGCCCTGGGGGAGACCCATGTAACTAATTCGTGAAGTTGTCGAGTTTCCATGAGAAAAGCTCATATATTTCTCAGACAACAAGTTGCTCAAATAGTTGTTCATAATTGGTGAAAGCCCACTATCGTGGAGTTTATCCGAAAGGACATCGATACAAACAGAATCAAAAGCCCCCTTAATGTCCAAGAAAACTGAACCCATTTGCTGTTTTTGCGCATAGGCCAGTTGAATTTCAGTTGAAAGCAACGCAAGACAGTCGCTCGTTCCTTTGCCTCTCCGAAATCCAAATTGCGTATCTGAAAGTAAACCATTCGACTCGACCCATTTGTCTAGACGAAAAAGAATCATTTTCTCCAACAATTTCCGTATACAGGACAGCATCGCGATGGGACGGTACGAGTTATAATCCGACGCGGGTTTACCGGGGTTTCGAATGGCGATAACTCTTACTTGCCTCCAATCATCCGGAACATTGTTGTGCTCCAGAAATTGATTGAATAAGTTCAACAAGCGTCTCTTCGCGACGTCTGGGAGATTTTTGAGCAAGTTGAACTTGATTCTATCCATTCCTGAAGCTGAGTTGTTACATGAGAGGAGAGCAAGTGAGAATTCCACCATCGAAAACGGAGAATCTATTTCGTTACTAAATGAAGGTGATCATTTGGATTTTTTCTCGATTCATCCTTAACCTTTCAGTACTCGCGCTATCTTTTGTACAGTACATAGTATGTTATTTTCAACTTGAGGACGCTTCATGATATCTGATTACTCTCCAAAACATTCTTGTTTATTGGATGTGGGTATTAAATTTCATAGAACATATTTAATTTCACGTTGAGCGAGTTCCAAAGTGCAGTAGATTTTTTTTCGTTTTATACAACGCGTGAGTACTCAAAGGTTAAACAGGCGTATAAAAAAGCCTTAATTGATTTTCATCTGTTGGTCTATAATCAGATTTTACATTTTGTTATATTCAAGCCAGAGGAATGCACAGCTCTTTAGAAACCTATTGGAATTTTCTTTCGAAGCTTCCTCTGATGGCACCCAAAATTCTTTGGATATATTTCAAAATTCACTTTGAATTACAGAACTATTCTCTTTAGAATCCTTTCAAAAATTCCTTGTAAACCCTTCAAAATTAAAAAAAAAACTCATAGGAATTCCTTTGAAGCTATCTTCAAACTAGCTGGATATTCAGCAAAGATTTGATTTTCGTTAGCTTTCGTCAGAAGTAGATTCCCTAGGAATATTACCATGGAGTTTTTCTCAGAAATTTCTTTGATCTGTTTGATTGATTGACAATTAAGAGGTTTTTCACCGTACGCTGGTTTGTTTCTGGAAAAGGAATAAGCTTGGCTTGGCTGAGTACGTGAAGTGATAGGTAGATAATTATTGTCATCTATAATTTGATTATTAGGGACAATGCCAGAGTTGTAGCGATACCAGCATTAAGTTTGTCACATGGTTAATTAACTTTGAATTCTCCCAGAATTCCCTTATAGAATGCTTCCTGATATTTCTTAAATTTTCCTGGAATTCTGCTCTCAATCCTCATAATAATCTCATCAGAACTACCTGTGAATTCATCTTTACTTTCCTAACAAATACTCTTGAAACACTTCTCAAAGTTATCTGGAACATCTAGTAGAATTCTCTTCAAAATTCTTCCATAATTTTCCTTTGAATTGCTCTACAATTCTACTCACCATTCATTTGGCATTTTCTTCAAAATTCTGTACACAATTCAATTCAACAGAATCCAAAAAAATTGTCCGAGTCATGATTTTTTATAAGATTTTGTAATTTTAAATTTATCGGTGTCTGAAATCTCGCAAAGTTCAGCTTTTAATGGTCTGGTCTGAAAATTTCGATTCGGCGACATGAACGCTCAGGTAGGACGGGAGGCAATGTATAGACCGGCAATAAGGGCCCAACAGCCTGCATGCCGTATCGAATGACAACGGCCAACGATGCGTAAACTTTGCAGCCTCTCGGGGTATGGTAGTTCGAAGTACCTTTTTCCCCGCAAGGATATCCACAAAGCCACCTGGAGATCACCTGACCAACAAACAGAAATCCAAATCGATCACGTTCTAATCGACGGGAAATTCTTCTCCGACATTATCAACGTCCGCACGTACCGCAGTGCGAACATAGATTCGGACCACTACCTAGTTGCAGTATGCATGCGATCAAAACTCTCGACGGTGCATAACACCCGTCGAAGTCGAACGCCGCGACCCAACATTGAGCAATTACGGGACGCCGGAGTTGCTCAGGACTACGCGCAGCAGCTGGAAGTTGCACTACCCACGGAAGAGTAGCTTGGCGCAGCTTCTCTTGAAGATGGCTGGAGGGCAGTCTTCAAGGTGCAGCATCGCGCTTGTGAGCAAATAGGTTTTCGTACTCACAAGAACATTCATTCTGTGCTCACGCATGCACCCAGCCAAATGAACATGAGCCCGCGCGAATGTTTAAAGTTCATGCGCGCACTTCGTTTTCTTCAGCGCTCAAACATCAATGTTTGCACCCAAGCACAGACGCTGGTTTCTTTTTCAACAATTTGTTTTCGAGTAAACGTGTGGTGTGTGTGACGAACGCGAAATATTTTAGTGGTGATTTAGTAGCGTAACCTATTCAGATATCCTTTAAATTTGTCGAACCTCTTAACGGAATCCCTTTATGAAGAGCT